GGGTCTCACTGGTGGCGCCGAGCCGCACAAGCCGTGCTGTCCTTCGCGGTAGACGGGTGCCCTCGGGCCTCTCCTCATTGCCTTCCCACCCGCATGATCCCTCCGATCCAGACACCTGCAGGCGGTAGAAGACAATGCAGCCCGTTGACACCGCACATGCCAGGATCGGTGAGGAGGAAGACGACGGAGAGGAGGGTGGGGAAGAAAAGAACAGGGAGGAAAAGGATGCGGGGCACCATCTGCAGTCCAGCACACCCCCGCCCACTTCCACAATCTCTACGGGGATCAATCGATGGTGACCGCCTGAGCTACTCCCGTCCGGATCCATTTGATGTCTGCTTTCTGACAAATAATACAGGAGAAGACTACCTTTGCGAATGTCCTCCCCGCCTTTCCCCCCTTCATTTACCTCCTCCTCTTCCGCCTCCTCTGCCTCCGCTGCCTGCTCCTTCGCATCCCTTGCGTTGCCATGAAATCCTCCATATATTTCATCTGCCTCCCTAGTTAGATTTCTGTCCTCGGTCTCCAATTCACGACTCTTCACAAGCTGATAGGTCGCACAGACGGCCCAATTCTCCCAGCCTGCCCGGGGACAAAACTCGGCCGAGCAAGCAGTGTAGCCCGTGTGGTGCACCTCTCCCAGAAATCCTGCTGCCGGAGACAAGGGCGTGGGGGACATAGACCTGTCAAGAAATCGCCAGGCACGTTACAATGGATGAGGTCCGGAAAACTTTGGTACCTTTCAAGACAAAGAGATCGGCTACCCATGGCCCGTGTGTCTCGCTAGCTCGCCGGGAAGTGAACGAGATGCCCCCAAAAGGCGTGTCTCGCATACCCCATGGCCCAAGCCCGCCCTCGTGTGCACGCCCCGCACGCGATGCTTCTGCGAAATGCTTGGAGGAGACGCTAAATTTGCTGAATTGTGCTGTGAATGACAGGAGTTCGTCGATTTTGGGCTTCCTCCCTCCTTTGCTTCCGGCTGGCCCCCTCGAGTAGCCATGCCATTGCTTCTATCCCTTTCCCAAAAGCCTGTCTCATTTTCCCTTCATGCACGCTCGATTGACCCCCACACAGACAGAGAGCCACAGTCACAGTATGAAAGGAGATGGGGCCCCAAATTCACGGATCCGGGGTTGGCATCAGCAAAGGAGGCGGCGTATTACGATGATGGGGCAGGTATGTCACATACTCGTGTCCCTGGTCCCCTCTCATGCCGCATTTTGCGCCCGCCTAAACATATGCAAAATCCCGTTTGTGCTGTCCTTGCAGGTGTTTGTGGGTTTGTGTCTGGGTGCAGTGGGGGCAGAGACGACATACCCGTGTAGGGGTTCGCGGTCGTCCTATTACTTCTGTGCGTGTTCTGCTGCTTTCATCCCATCCCACTATGAGGGATGCGGCAGCCTATCATGGGAATGGGAAAGAAAAGGAAGACACCATCAAACAACACGGTATGGGCACATAAAGCGCGCGGAGTGCTTTCCAGAAGGCGGTGAACAGGTGCGTGGAGAGGTCGGGTGTTTGCCCGTGATGAAGCGGGCCTAAGGGGCTTCCTTTCTAATCCCTCGCGCCCCTCCCCCCCACAAAGCCAGCCTCACTCTCTCCCTCTCTTCGTGCACAGTCGCGACATCTTTCCCAGCTCTTCGCCCCCCCCAGGCCCGGGACACAAGGTCTCTGGGCCCTTCGTCGCCGCACCTCGGAGCAGGAGGAAGCGGATGTGGACTCGGAGAACCGTCGGAGGAAATCCGTTCCCGTCACCTCTTTGGAACAGCTGCATCAGGTGGTACGTGACACTGGCTTGACGCGCCCAGCATCGCTGCCTCCCTCCCTGCCTCCCCTCTTTCCATCTTTCCACCCTCACCTGCTCCTGACCGCCTACCTCTTTTCTCCCCTCCCTCCCTCCCCCTCCCT